CATGCCAAAAAAACACAAAAACAAAAACTCCATGCATGGTGGATGCCATGCAAGGTTGTTTGTCAAGGCAAGTGAACTCATCCAGTAAAGTCCAGCAGTCAGTGGCAGCACGATGTTCTGTGCACTTTTACTTAGATGTAAGTAGTAGTAGAACAGGGACTTGGGATTCCTCCTCTACTTCTCTGGTGCATCTGTCTTCACATGCAAGTGCGGTAATGTCTGGGCTGCTAATGACCAAAAAACCCCTTTCCGAGCTACCCCCCCTTGATGCAGATTTCTGAGGCAAAGAACTCACTGTGGCTGCTGGGAAAGCCAGGCCTGTGTGCCTTTTTAATTTCCCCAATGGAGCGAATTCAGAAAAAGAGGTTGGGGCTGAAACACCCAGTTATAGGTTGGGAACAACCGTCTACAATTGCATCCTGATCTGAATCACCAGGAGTGATTTTATCTCCAGTACTAGATAGTTTGTGGTTTTTAACAATATAATCACTGGATCCACAAAGTATTATTGTGACTTTCCCAAAATATAATCAAAACATTTCTCTTCCATCGCACGTAAGGATAACTACTGCGATGCCACAGCTTTGCTCAAGTGTTTGTATCCTATCCAACATAATGCATGGGGAGATTTGCTGTGCAGCAGGATTAGAAGGAACTAGTCTTCATTTTCACCCCTAATCACCTCTTCATCTTCAAGCAGGACTATAAAAATGGAGCAGTTTTCCCACTGCTGTAACAAAAAATAGTTAAATTCATTAAGTCAAAGGGCACTTCTTAATAATGTCTTGGTATAACAGTGGGAAAGCCTTTGTATACTTAAGTTGTTCAAGTTGTTGAAAAGGCAGAAGGAAAGGAAACGTCTACTGGAATACCTTGTAATGAATGCATAGAGCTGGGTGATGTATAACCACATCATAAATGCCAAGGGTATGGGAGGATGCCATATGTACACAAATGATGCCATGGGCATGATCCAACAGGTGTCTGTAACACTTGAACAACTACATTTGTTCACTTGAACAATGCTTAGGAGATCATTTATTTATAGCCTGCCTTTTTTCCTGTAGGGTCTCCATAATCCATCTCCTCTCCATTGGATCCTCACAACACTGTGAGGGACATTAGGCTAAGAGACAGCAAGCTTCGTGGATGAATAGGGACAGTCCAGCACTACAATCACTATGCTGCACTGACTCTCAGAATCACGGTTTTCTAGAGACAGAATACTGCAGTTGGAATGCTGGAAAAATGAGATATCCCTTCAAGAAAAACAGCCTTCAGAATGCAACTGTGTATTTACTACACTATTTAAAAATACTGGAAGTCCTTTAGTGTGTGAGATACTTAAGTAGGTGAGGAGTTTTTATATTTAGCTAACACAAACTGGGACACAAATACCTCTCATTGACTTCATTGATAATTATATAAATTATCTCATTGATAATTATATAAATATCTTGCTCGACATTATTTTTCTGAAATAATGAAATTTCTCAACATTATATTTCTCCATCACTTTTGGATGGAACAGTCATCCAGCATTTAAATTCATTGCTCCATTCAACATCAAACAAGCAGACTTCTCCTCCAGGAGTCTGCCTTTTCTCATGCTGCTCAAAGGAAAGGGCTACAACTAGCGAGGATTGGGGCTCAACTTTGCTATTTGAAAATGTGGGTTTTTCTCTTCACTAACTTTGATTCACAATATACTGAACCAATCAGATAGTGCTGTTGTGACCACATGGCCAGTGGGGAAGCTGAAACAGCAGTCCTTTTGCCATCTTGGCTCCTTCATTGCCTTAGCACTCCCCAAGAGCATCATCTGATCTGGAAATAAGTTGAACTGAATGGAACTTAACTTCCATTGAACTAAGAAGGCTGTAGAGCCTGGCCCACCCTCTTAGGTGGCCCAGCAACTAGTCCAGATGCCCAGTTTTCTAATGAAAAGTACAAATCTGTTGACCCTATAAAACTCAAGATATAACCACATTTTGAATATATTGATTGAAAATGTTTCCACGTTCAATATGTCAGTCATTACATCTCTAGGAATGGTTAAGACACAGAAGGTGAAAATGATAAAAAATAATTACAGCAGAGCCACCTACAATAAGCAAACAGGGCTTCTAAAAATGTGAAATGAAGGGGTGTCACCACAATACATTGTGGAATGCAAATAACGTCATGGCTGACCAACAGGAAAAACGGGCAGTTGCATCCCTAGCTCACAGGGCTGCCTCGAACCTACCAAAACATTTAATGCTGTGGGCACAAAGGAAAATCCAGTCTTGGGGGTGTTGCTCCTTGCAGTGAGTAGCATAAACCGGTGAAGAGAAAAGTGGGTTGCTGTGCTCATGCAAACTGCTGTCAGAAAGCAGAGCTTGTGAGAGTGCAGTTGCACTGAATCAGGTGCTATGTCCTCCAGGCAGGTGTGTTCATACAGATAGAATCTTTGCGCACCTGACTCCAGGGGCCTCTGTGTGGAGGGCTCCTGGCCCTACCAGGGAGGAGACGCTGTGCAACTATTCTTTTCTTTTCATTCTTAATGGACTATCTGTGGGGGAAGAAAAGGTGGAAAAAGGTGATCACACACTGATGACAAGAATGCCTGTACCACTCATTAGATGCTGTGCATGAGGCAGGCACAAAGCTTCAGTAAGACCCTTCTTTGGAAGCCCCTTGTAGTCCAGAGGCAACTAGATTTATCCTGTCACGGATTTGTATGAGTTTCAAGTAGTCCCCAAGGAAACCCAAGCTCAGACACTTCTTTTGACATTTCCTGAGAACTGGATTTCAAAGACATGGATGTTAAAATTAGATGATCCGTTGGAAGCAGTCTTTGCATTGACTTCACTGTCTGTTTGCCACAGCTATGTTGCTTTGTCCACATTTCCGGTAATCTAGTTTTGGCTAGATTTTTTTTAAAACTTTAATGTTGTGGATTTACTAAAAAAGGAGATGATCCCATTTTGTTCCAATTTTATTTCTGTTGCACTAAATAAAAACTTTATCTGCGGTTAAAACAGTTTATAGTCCAATAAACTATTCTGTTCAATTTCTGAGAAATTGAATGAGAATTTCTGAGCGCTTGATTACATCTGGCATCTAACAATGCTGACAATACAAAACAAAAAAGTCCAGATCTAGAAATTATGGTCGTGTTTCATAAAACTGATTGTATCACTCCTGAAAAGGATGAAGTATTTCAAATAAAACTATTTCCATAACTTTAAAATGGTACCAATGTGTGCTTTGGATGCTTTGGTACCAAACAAGGTAGTTTTCATTTTAGGAAAGCATTATGGTTCAATTCCTATTGCTTATTTTAGCATATTTTCATACAGACCTCTTCATTCATCTCCATCACCATCATCATCATCATCATCATCATCACCATCATCATCTCATGTCTATACCGTCCCACAGCCAAAGCACATGATCTGCTGCTTTTATTACCAGAATATGCTTGTGCTGTACACTGTAGGACAATCCTGAATGGAGCAAAGGAGCGGAGATGGACAAGAAATCACACTGTGAGACATAATCAGAAACCAGGCCAAGTGAAGCGGAAAATGGTTCATTACTTTGGTTTGTGTGGGAACTGTTCTGCATGTGACCAGAAGATAGATTACTTTTACTTCATCCTTAAGGATACATTTTATTACACTGAAGATTACATGGATAGGAGTGTATGTCATACTTTTAGAGAGTAATATTAATGAAGTGTTTCACTTGAAAGGTAAACTGTATTTTAAAACCAGAATGGGATAATGTGCACACCATTTGCTTCTGTTCTTTTGCTTACCAACTCTGATAACTGACTGAAAGCTCCGCTTTGCAAGCTGCTCTTTCCCTTCCCACCTTTCTTCTTCAGCCTCCCAGGTGTTCTGCCTCCAATGCTTCACCCTGACTATTGCCAAACCAATGTCAGACTTCCCTGCACCCTTTCCCTCAAATATGCTGCAGGAGCAAGACTATTTCATTGCCCCATGCCCCACTCAAATGTTCAGTTTCCCAGCATTATCCTTTAGGGTACTGACCTGATTGTCTTGATGGGGTATTCCTATGGCTTCTGCACCACATAAGGAGTAATATGACCCCCAGGCAGCATAATTTTGAAAGCAGACCTGCTTTACCATGCTTTTGTATTTGAATAAGCACAGAGATACAGCACAAAATGTATACCAAATATGTTCCTCTTTATGGGATCTTTGTGAAGTGGCCATTATAAGTATCCAAGCAAAACAAGCAATGAGCAGGGTCTGAAATGCAAACCTATTTTGGCTAAAGTACATACTGGATTTCTCAAGTGGCCTATAGAATGATGAAACCCACACTATTGACATATCTTCACAACACCCATTCCTAGTTCCAGGAGCTTACTTAACTCCATAAGCTGAGGGACAGTGTGGAGTAGTGGTTAAGAGCACAGGAGTGGGATTCAGAGTCCTGGGTTCTAGTTCCTGCTCAGCCATGGAGCCAACTGGGTGAGATTCTCAGCCAACCTACCTCGCAGTGTTGCTGTTATGGGGATAAGAGTGAAAGCAGCAAGAGGAAAATGATGTAAGCCATCTTGAGTTCCTTGAAAGGAAAAAAAGTTGGAATATAATGAATGAATGAATAAACAAATAAATTAGAATCCAGGTTGCAGGTGGAAGGGTCACATGCACGTACTCCCATCCTAGCCCAAATATTTCTCAGTTCAGCTCCAGGAGATAAAGGGATGGCTCCATCTATGTAGGATTTCTTCAGTTATTTTGGCTAAAGAGAGAGGAACACCAAAATAAGGCTCCTGTATTTCAGACCCTGATCGAGCACAACTGCCTCAGATTTGGGCATTATGGTATTTACCCAGGCCAAGTCCTTCTGTTTAAGCTGTGTTTGCCATATTTCCACATGGCTTCCTTTTTTTTTAATTATAATTTTGTTCTTCGTTTTTGGTGTGACTTGTATTCTATAACAATAACCTTCTTAGTTCTAATGTCCCTCCTACCCCTCAGCAGTTGACCAAGCTCCACCAGTTGGCTATGCAGCAAACCCCCTTTACTCCCCTTGGACAGACCACCCCCGCTTTCCCTGGTACGTACCCAAACTCCCTTTACAGATTTCCTTCTCTTCTTACCTATGCAGTTTCTCAGTCTTTCAAAGCTTCGTTTGTTTAACAAAGAGAATAGGCTATGTAAACAAATTTGCACCTATCAAAGACAAGTTAAAGGCAGGAGCTAGAGTGATCTTTATCTCGACTGTAATGTGAACAGGATGGACCATGTGCCTGGAAGTCACATGTTCGTATCGTTTCCTGCAAGGCACCCATGTGTCTCGACAACGCTTGTTTACATGGGGCATGTGCAGAGTAAGTCACATGAGGGGATATGAATTCCTCACAGTTATGGTTTGTCTGTGATGTTTCATGTATTCAAAGATATGGGCACATCAGTAATGAATATTTAGAAGGTGAAGCTCATACTTTCATCTGCAATGCTGTGTACAAGCCATTGTTCTAGTGGATGAGCCCTCTCTTTGAAGCATGAAACAAGACAGTAAGGACTTCTAAAAGAAACTTAATATGAACAATTGTTAGTGAAACATTAAGTAAAATGAACAAGAAAAACCTAAGATGGCAGATGCTATAATTTGTATAATGTGTATGCTACTGTATATATGTATGTGCATATATGTATATGTATATGTGTGTATATATGTATGTATGTATATATATATGTGTATATATATATGCATCTTCATTTCATTAGGATGATCACAAATGTGTGTTCTGCCATTTTGTTCATCATATTTTGAGCTTCCTAGATGAAGTGACATTGCTTATCTCCTTGAAGGCAAAAAACATTAAATCTGTTTCTTCTTTGCTCTTCAGGAGAAAAGCTGCCCTTACATTCCTCCGAAGAAGCTCAAAATCTGATGGGCCAATCATCAGGTAAAAACAAAAGGCATTTAGGGGAATACCTAGGATATTTTGCACTGATAAATATTTCTTAAGTTGGATCTTGATACTCTTGTAGCCACATGCAAACTGCCTCCTGAGACAGTTTGTTTCTCAGTGGGAAAAAGACAATGCAGGTAGCCACTGAAATGACTAGAACTCCTGTCAAAGCCCTGGTCGCTCTTTAGAAGATAGATATGACGGGGAAGTTGACACAATCACACCTGTCAACACTCTCTCCCTTCTGGCAGGGCTTGTGAAGCCCCATGATATACCTCTGAGCCGTGAGCAATGAGGCAGGCTGGGAGAAGGCTGCAGTGCAGGTGGAGGAAGACCTGTGCTGAATCCAGTCGAGCACAAGAGCTCGTTGTTGAATCTATTTTGTGGCAGTGAAGGTGGTGAAGGAGACATTCTTCTCTGCCAGCATTGCATCCACGCAGTGTTGTCCAGTGGAGCTATTCCAGGTGGTTTGTGACCTGTTGCAATCTGGGCCCAAAGTAGATGCTGTTGAACTCTTGGTTGCCCCCTGTGATAAATCTGAACGACACTTTCAGGGTAAAATCGTTTAGATCCACCAGGTATAGGACCTCACCACTGATGTTAGTCCTGTAAGGGAGGCATCTAGTGTACTATCTTATCCAGTCTTGTTGGATGAGATTCAATTATTGCGGCCTAAGGATAAGAACAGTATGCTTGGATAGGCTGGCCAGGTTGGAAGTAGGAGGCACTGCTTTGCAGTGGCTCCATTCCTGCTTGGCCAACCAATTCCAGAAGGTGGTGCTGGGGGACTGTGGCTCTGTGCCATGGCAATTACAGTGGTACCTCGGCTCATGAACGCCTTAGTTCACAACCAAATCAGGTCACAAACAGAAATTTTGGAAAAATTTTGCCTCAGGTCGCGAACTCCGCATTGGGTGACAACCATGATCGCAGCCATGTTCCTGCATGAACACAATTGCGATCGCAGCCATTTTTCCCGCATGAACAATCCAAAACGTAACCTTCTCCCTACCCACCACGAGGGGAAGCCATGAGGGCACACTTGTCTCTGTCGAGGCCTTCCTGGGTCCTCGCAGCTGCCCCACTTCCAACTTGGAGGAAGGTCTTCTCGCAGGCTCCAGAAGGGGGAGCAAGAGCGGGAGGCTGGAGAGGTGGGCATGGGACAACTCCCCCGGCCAGGAGAGGGCCACGAGGAGGGAGGTAAGGGCTGCTTTCTGCGGGCCGATGCGAGGGACGGGGACACAGCTGGCAGAGCAGAACGCCTCCCACATCTCTCTGTTGTGTCTGCCCCCAGGCTCGGCAAGGTGGCCACGGTTTGGCCCACAGCTTGGGCACGTGGCTCATACTGCATTTTTATGGTAAAAAATCCCCAAACATATTTATTTATTTAAAAATTGTATATGCCATCCTTTATGTATAACATAAAGTTATGGTAAAGAACAGATTAACCTTATTTACATTGAACCTTATGGGAATTTGACTTGGCTTGCGACCAATTCGGGTTGTGACGAGAATCGTGGAATGGATTAAGTTCATGAGGCAAGGTACCACTATATGCCATGGAGTTTCGCAGGATTCCACCTTATCTCCCATGCTGTTTAACATCTATATGAACAGCTGGGAGAGGTCATTTGGAGGTTTGGGCTGAGGTGTCACCAGTACACTGATGACACTCAGCTGTACCTCTCATTTTCATTTAATCCAGGTAAGGTGGTGGCAGTTCTAAACCAGTGTCTGGGCAATGTAAAGAACTGGATGAGGGGCAATAAACTTGAAGCTTAATCCAGATAAGATGGAAGGTTTGCTGGTGGGTGGGCCATCTGTTCAGGTGAGTGATATTCGCTTTGTTCTGGACAGGATTGCACTCCCTTGAAGGGACAGAGTATGCAGTTTGGGAGTACTCCTTGACCCAGGGCTATCCCTGAAATTTCAGGGGGCTTCTGTGCGGAGAAGTGCTTTCAACCAGCTGAGGTGGGTCCATCGGCTACATCCTTACCTGAATGGACAGAGCCCAGCAATAGCAACCCACACATTGGTAACCTCCAGTTTGGACTGTTATAACATGATTTACATGGGGTTGCCCTTGAACGTGCTCCAGATACTTCAAATGGTACAAAATAGAGCAGCCAGGCTATTGTGTGGGACTGGCAGATGTGAACATATAGCGCCAGTCCTGTATGACCTCTACTGGCTTCAATTGAAGTTCAGGCCCGATTCAAGGTGCTGACAATGACTTAGAAGGCCTAAATGGTTTAGGCCCTGGATACCTAAAGCAATGTTTACTTCGGTATACTCCTGCCTGGACCTTAAGATCATCAGCAGAGGTCCTTCTGCAAAAGCCTCCCTTGACCTTGGTGAGGAGCACTGTTACTAGGTGAAGAGCCTTTTCAGCGATAGCACCCTGATTGTGGAATGTGCCTCCCAGAAAGGTTCACCAGGTATTAACTCAGTGCCAGGCTAAAACCTTTTTATTTGCACAGTCTTTTAATTGATAGTGTGTGTGTGTGTGTGTGTGTGCGCGCGCGTGCAAACACAAGATCTATTGTATTCTAAATTAAGGAAGAACAGGATTTATATAAAGAAAATTAAATTCCACAAAGAAATTCTTCCCTTATAGAAAATACTTTCTCACATAAGAGGATAAGATTTGGCTCCTTCTGTTGCTTGGTTTCACTCTATCTTTGAAACTGTTGTTCTCCAACTACCAAAATGCAGTATAAGCATCATCTAGGACCCATAGATCCTACAACTAGTTCTGAGAGCCCAAGGGGGCTTCTGGTTTGTGTGTATTGAACAGAAACTGTCTATACTATACAGAGTGGCACTTTGGAAATAGAAAACCATTTTCTAAAGAAGTTTGCAATGCGGCTGGCTACTTAGATAAAAAAAGTAAATTTTGTTCTAGGCAGATTCAGTGCATTTCAACATTTTTGTTAATGATTTGGATAAAGAGATGCAGGGAACACTGATCAAATTTTCAGATGACACAAAACTGACTGGGAGAGCTAATACCCTGGAAGACAGAAACAACGGTCAAAGTGACCCTGATAGTGGGAGCACTGGGCTGAAAGCAACAGAATGCAATTCAATAGGGACAAATGCCAAGCTCCTCACCCAGGAAAAAGAAACCAACTGCATTGTCACAAGACGGGGCATGCTTGGCTTAAGAGTACTGCAAGAGAAAAGGATCTTGGAATTCTTGTAGATCACAAGCTGAATATGAGTCAACACTGTGACGTAGCTGCAAAAAAAGACAAATGCTATTTTAGGCTAGGTCACTTACAAATCACACGAAGTACAAGTTCCTGAGTGGAGGCTCCGCCCTGGTCAGGCCTCAGTTTGAGTACTACAGCCATCTGCAAGGGATGGCTTAACTTGGATTCCTGCATTGAGCAGCATGTTGGACCCAATGGCCTTCTGGCCCCTTCCAACTCTACTATTCTATGATAAAAGACAGTTGTGCAAGAGCGGACAGTGGGGAGCTGCAATCCGAGCCCAGTGGCTGTTTTGCCTGCATTGAAGCAAAATTCAAATGTCAGTCCAATTTGCTTCTGGATATAGAACAAGGGCGGGAGGTAGGTAGGTATGTCAGCCTTTGCTTCAGAATGTCTTGACTTAGTCCTGCAGCTATGGAAAGCCTTCAGTTAAAGGTCTTTATTAGACATTGGTTCAGGGGATTTCTTTCAGCTGTCTGTAATGTAAAATTCTTGTGGATTTCTATGCATAAATTTAAATAAAAGACCAGATAGGAGATAATCAAGGGCAAATAAGAATACCTTTCACCATTAGTGTGAAAGAGGGAATTTTTCAGGGGCAGCCCTTTCAGCCTTGCTCAAACAGTTATATCCGCTCACACACAGAATGATGCAAGTTCCATGCTAGAATCTTTAGCATTGGTGCAGCATTAGCTTTTCTACAACCACTGGCAGTTGAATGAAAATAAGGATATATTGTCCAGCAGTGCTCTTAAAGATCCCATTATAAAGTTTACTTAGAACACAAAGCTGATAAGCAATTTGTATTAGAAGGTCACGATTTTATAAAGAGGAAATGGGGGGAGTCAAAACTACTTGGCTCCCACTGCATGGAACTTTTTGAGGTACAATTAAAGTACTACTCAGGGTAACAGCACACTACCCTGAATAGCAAGAATTTAGATTAAAGCTACAAGAAGGAAACATATAATTAAAGCCTTAATAGTGTTTACCTATTCGGTGGACAGGCTGGCATTGCACCTACGTTTTAAGTCAACCAAAGATCATATAACAGGTTTGAAAAGAAGGATAGGGCAACTCAGAAAATATTAGAATGCAGCAGGGTCGCAAACAATCCAGAATCTCTGCAGAGAGTGGATGGCTCAGTGGCAAGAGGGCCACATGTCCTCTTTTATAAAGAACAGGTGTGTCAGAGGACAGTCCTCAGTTCAGAAGTGTCTTCTGTTTGGGGGATCTCCTGTCCAATGCCGGCTGAATGCTAAATTTGCCTGAAGAAGCACTGCTCATCCAGGCTGCACAGGCAGGCACATGGGTCACCCAGCCATGACAGTGAGAGGGAGTGCATTTCTGTTTGACTTGTAACACTTTTGGCTAACCAGGAGAGGGGAAATGGGGTCACAGGAAAAGAGAAGGGTGGGAAAGGCATGGCTGGTAGATATGCAAGACAGAGCCTTCTTGGTGGTGGTGCCCAGATGCATTGGAGCATCTAGCTTGTACTCTCGAAGCACGCTTTTAAGTGTCATTTTAACATAAGATTGTTGTGATAAGTTTTTCAGGAGAATGATCTTGGTGAATTTGTTATTTATTTTTATTTATTATCACTGCTGCAGTTTATTCTGAGATGTTTGTTGTTTTGCTTGATTATGGCTTTACAAGAGTTTTTAGCTGCATTGAGGGACCTTTTAGGGAAGGAAAATATTGGGCGTACATATTCTAATAACTAATAAATATTCATTGTTCCTCCATATCATGTCCAGTTTGGCCCTAAAGGCAAAATCT